GCCTGCTACAAGTCTAAAGCATCTTCCAGTGGGGACCCACAGAAAAGGGTCAGAAACAACCAGACAAGCCCGGAAGGAAAAGAGCAAAATCAACCTCAAGATAAAAGCTGCCACTGTCACCTCCCCACAGGTCTCACCCACATCTGTGTCACCCAGTCCACGACCAAAAGACAAGCGCAGTTTCTTCACGTGTCTCTAGGCTCCATGCGCCTCCTCCAGGTGTCCTTCTGGCTCCATCCTGCTTCCTTCCTTCCTCAGTCTCCTCTGCATCCTCTTCTCTTCCTGCTCAGCTCCACCCTCCCTGGGGTGGGGCAGGGAACCTGGAACCTCCCCCTTTCCTGGGGACCACCCTGTTACATAACTGTGTTTACAAACTAAACTAGCATGATGTGATTACTATACATTAGAGCCTAAGCATTACTGAAAAGTATTATTCCAACTCAAGTCCCAGAAAGACACAGGTAACATAATATAATAATTATGATTACATATATTTTCAGTATTTCATTGCTCAAGTCACGCTAATTTTGAAATCTTCATCTTCTGTAACAACCATTCAATTTCACATATTTGACCCTACAAATGACTCACTGAGGAAATCCCTTTTCTCTTTGTCTATTTTGAAGGCTAATTCTCAGATTTTCACTTTATTTTGATGTCTCTTTCACCTTTATTAGTTTCTCCCTAGAAATCTAAATATCAGAAAAAAAGATTCTCCATGCAATTTCACAATCACTTTAATGAAAATTAGCTTTTAAACTCCATTTATAAATAGTACATGTTAATTACATCTAAATTTTTTTTAAAGGGTGGGACTGTTACAGGCTAAATGTTTGTGTCCCTCCCAAAATGAAGCTCATCTCTAATTCTGGAGGTGGGACCTTTGGTAACTGAGTGGTAACTGAGAGGTAATTAAGGATTTTATTTTATTTATTTTTTTAAAAACCCAAATTTTTTTTTAAAGATTTTATTTATTTATTTATACAAACACTGGGTACAGTCAGAAGTGGGGGAGGGTGAGAGAATTCACCAGAGTCAGAGGGGAGAGCAGAACAGGCAGAATGACCAAGTACACTGCTGAGGGGAGCGGAGGGCAGTAGGAGAGGTTTGCGCGCCATGTGGGACCCTTGCCAGTGGCCGGGGATAGAACCGGCGCTGAAGAAGTTGCGGGCAGCTTCGCAACCCAGTGCTCAACCGCTGCACCACCAGGGAGGCCCTAATTAAGGATTTTAAATCTAAATCACACCTGAAACTTCTTTTACTCTCCTTCACAGGAACCAAATAGTTGATTTCTAGCTACTCCAAAAGGATTTTCAGCTTAAATTCAAAAAGCAACTATTTATTAGCAAAATGATCTCTTACTATTTCATAATTTTAGAAAACACATACATAAGCATTGACAGAGGACAGGAATAGTGAAAAAACTAAAAGAAGCACCACAAGAACAGAAACCTGGCTCACACTAGGAGGTGGGGGCAAAAGAGATTAGCATAACATAGACACTAGTATCCTGAGGTGCAGTCTAAAGATATGGAGACTGAGCCCAAGGGACCCCCAAAGGTAAAGATATGGAGATTAAGCCCACTGTGGAATCTCCAGGCCCTTCAAAATTCTACATAGTTGTCCAAAAGTAGCAACCAACTGACAGCTCAGGAGTGAGCCCCTCCCAAACAGAAGAAGACTATATCAATTGCAGTCTCTGCACTGGCTCTGAGCAGCACTCCCACTGCCCACCTGTGACTATGCAGGTGCCTCTTTTCACCAACTCTCTCCCTCTACAGGGCAGCAGCTTCCTGCCTGCCCATGACCTGTCAAGGCCGCCCTCCTGCAACCACGCAGGCCTCTCTGAGCAAACCTGTCCCTTCTGGGGCAGCTCTTCCTGTCCGCTTTTGTCTATGCAAGTGTACTTTACTTTTCTGACCCGTTTCCTAATAAACTACCCTTTAAATAGAACGTCCGTCTCTGACTCGTAAAGAAACATGCCACTGAAAGGGAAACTCTGGTAAAACCTTTCCCAGAGTGAACCCAAGGACCCTGCACTAAGTCAAACCACACCAGCAATGGATTCCTCACTCCTCAAGAGCTGATCATCAGTAGTTCTCAACATATTCTAACCACTTTTCAACACCAGAAAGATTTTTGTGTTCCACAACTAAAAAACCCAGCCACATCCAGTATAACTTGTCCAAGAAATAAGTGACTAGCTATACCTCCCAATTAAATGTGAATCCAACAAGCATCTTTAATAATTGGCAAGAATAAAACTTCAAATATATCCCCATATGTAGGTTTCTTTTTAAACATATTGTTAGGGGGAAAAGGATGTCCTAAAGCTAATTCCATACAGGCTTTGTGGACTCCACCCCCACTCCAGACCAAAGCCAAAATACACTGGGAACTACAAATCCCATCACCACCAAAGGGAAGGTTGCTGGAACCTCATCAAACTAACTTCAGAATTTGCCATATTTCCTAAAACTACAGTGTTGCCATATCTACAGGAAAACCAAAACAAATTAACAACTCCATAATAAAACGAGGCGTCTCTACTGTCATGATGCACCTTAAGGCTGTAAAATACCAAAAATTTAAATTTTAATCTTTTTAAGACCCTCTTCGCATCTTTTCATTATAATTTACAAATAGTAAACTGAATTCTTAAATATGGTAAATGAACAAAGATTATCCACCAAGTCTGTAAAGAATAAAAGTACCAGTAAGAGCTACAACTTAACTATGATATCCAAATATACCACGGTATTAAACAGAGTTACTACATTAACAAAGTTCCCCATATTCTTAGTTAACAGCAATCAGCACAAAGAAGTAAATAGTTTAATAATATGCCACCAGAAAAACCTTTTCCAAAAAGGTAACATTGCAGTTTTACACTATGTCCTTTGGATTATTTTTCAAGGAATATCATCATATTCAAGTCTCTATTTTTGTTAGAAACATTTCCAAGGCAATAAAGAGGAGGAAATCCTAAGATCAGTAATTTTACGTTAATCTTCAGTAATGAGAGGCAGCATGGCAGAGGAGAAAACAGTTACACACATGCCTGAATCTTATGCATTCACCACCACTAAAGTGAAATGGGATCAGAGCAGTTTAATCACTCAGAGCCTCTGTTTGTTAATCTATTGAACAAAGAGAATGCCCCATGCTGTTATGAAAAATATGTAAGAAAGGGCATATTATTATCAACAATTAAAACTAAAATACCATGGGAGTTTTCGATTTTTTTTTTAAAGCAAACTCCCCCAAGTAATACAGAGCTACACAGGTTAATCTAAGATCTCAGGCTATACATGTTCAGAACCAGACTGTTTTTGTAACTGTCTTACTCAGTTCTGTTTTTCCGGAATGCTAGCACCCAACATAAACATACAGTATATTTTCAATTAAAAAAAAAAAAGTCAGTGATTAAGTCAACAAAGCCTCCTGCTCTTCCACGCACAAAAATATAAAAATAGGTATTTTCCAGCTTTGTCTTACTTAACAGTAACGTTAACCATTGTTCCACTTATCTGATTACTTACTCCTTATGGTTTACTACCAAAATATTTAATACCGGGCAGTGTGAGGTTTTGGAGTTTTTCCCTTTTCTCTGAAATACAAACTTGCATTCTACCTTACCTCCTCTTCACACTTCAGACAGGAAATGAGTTTGTTTTCAACCATGTGGAATTTGAATTTACTTTTTAGAAAACACTGTAAAAGTAATAATCTATTTTAGTAGACTGTTTTATGCAGTCCTTCAGGCCTCATGTAAGTTACCATTAACCTCTGTGGAAATGTATTACTCAACTTGCCTAATACGCAAGTATTCCAATCTGACTTTAGAAGTCTGAAAGTTTGACCACACAGTTTTAAAAATGACCTTTATCCCTTCTTAAAAGCTAAGAAAATATATGGAAAAACTGGAGGCACTTTTCAGCCAAAATAAAAAAAAATAAAAATACACAAGTATTTAGCTTTTTAAAAAGAACGAGATATGTAATAACATAGATATCCGTGAGTACTACTAGCTAATAAAAACTGTATGCCATAGTGATGCAGATTTTGTTTGTAAGCATACTTACTGTATGCGCAGAAAAATCTTAAAGGTTAAACACCACACTTGAAGTCAGTCTGGCTACCAACCCCAGGTACTAAGAGGAAAAAGGGGGGAGGGTGTGGGGCGGGGAGGCAAAGCTGACGTCTTCATTGTTTGGCTGCTAAATTTTTTTCTTAAAGAGCACGTAGTATTTTTGCAAATTAAAAAAAAAAATGGGCGAAAATAACTCGGTAAAACTACACTTTCTCGTCCGTCTACCAAATCCTTGTAATTAAAAAAAAAAGAATTTTGATTTCTCAGTTGTCTTTTAACGGGCATACCCAAGAGAAGTTTAAAAAAAGAATCTTGGGTTTACAAAGCGAATCCCTCTGGTTCTACTCTCCACGCTGGGGGTTGAAATACCCTAACGACAGGCGCTGCACTAGTAGCACATACTCCAACAAAACACCAGAAAGTCAGGCAATGTTAGCGCCTGCTTTGGCCTCTTGTATCCCTTCCCAGTCCCAGCCCCAGCCCCCAAGATTTCCCTGAAGCTACGTAGGTTGAATTCTCTTCCTTCAAAATCAAAACAACAACAGAAAGTCACGGGGTAGAGCCGAAAAGGCCCGACGGAGCCCGCGGAAGTCCGAGGACAGCAAGGTGGGGGCGTCTGCGCGGACCCCCCGTCAGGACCAGAGCCGCGGGACCGCGGCAGCCCCAGCGCCCCCTCGACCCCAGCCCCTCTACTCACACGTCCCCGAGGACCCCGGCTCCCGACTTCCCGCCCCTTTCGAGCCCCCAGACTCCCTTGAACACCCCCCTCCCCCGACTCCCAAGACCCGGACCTCCAGGTCTCCCTCGAGACCCCAACCCCAGCCGCCCGGCCCCGAAGCGCGCCCGCGCCGCCCGCGCGCCGAACACGCCAACCCACGCGACCCAGAGCCCCGGGCGGCTGCGTTACCTGTGGCGAGGCGGTCGGTCCGGCCAGCCGCAGCGGCGCGCAGGGTCAGGCGCTAGGACTCGGAGGGCTCCGCGGCAGCCGGCCGCCGCCACCGCCACAACAACACGGCCTCCCCCACCGCCGCCGCCGGGGGGAGGGGCGGAGCCGGGACCCAAGGCTGGGGAAGCCCAGACCTCGCGGCCTTCAGAGGCGTCGGGGACCTGGGCATGCGCAGAAAGCCGCGTGCGCGAGGGCAGTTTCGCGAGGACGCCGAAGTCAACAAGGCCTGGGGACGCCCCCATCCGGCTCCGCCCCCCTCTGAGATCGCACCGCCCTCAGACCCAAACAACGCGAGGTCTTGACAGGGGCCTGGGGACGGCGGCGGTTGAATTAGATCCCGCGAGAGCACGGCCTGAGCGTCCCCTCCCCCTCCCCCCGAGAAGGGAAGACGCTGGCTCTGGTGGCTGAGTGTGGGGTTGGTGGTGCTTCCTGGGGATTTCCACGACCTTGGGAGTGAGCGCGTCTAGACGTCAGTCATCTTCGAGGGTGCTTCTCGGCGGGCTGGCCCTGCGGTGGCTTTTGTGGAGAACGCTCCCCGGTTAATCTGAAAATCCATGGGTTTTCCTCCAGACTGTGCTCCTTCGGAGGCGTGCCCGTCGCCTGTGGTGAACATCGGCTCTGGGCTCCCGTCCCCGGCCGGTGTGGGCTTCTGAGCCACCTGCCTGAACGCCCGGACACCTGTGTTCTCCACCGGGCTCCAGACCTGAGCTTTATCTTTCCACCCCCTAACATGTGCTCTTCATTTAAAAAAAAAAAAAAAAAGGTAGTTAAGGCCGGTGACTGTTGGACCAAACAAGTTTCTTTTGGTTTAAGTAGCCCGTAGCCCAAAACCGGAGGGAAAGGTTTTTTTTTGTTTTTGTTTTTAATTTTTTTTTAAAGATTTCTTTATTTATTTATATAAGCGGTGGGTGCAGTCAGAAGTGCAGGAGGGTGCGAGAATTCACCAGAGCCAGAGCGGGGAGCAGAGCAGGCAGAAGGACCGAAGTACACTGCTGAGGGGAGCAGCGGGCGGCAGGAGAGGTCTGCAGCTGGGGATCGAACCAGCGCCGCAGAGGCCGCGGGCAGCTTCGCAACCCAGCGCTCAACCGCTGCGCCACAGGGGAGGCCCCAGAGGGAAAGGTTTTTGAGGAAAAAGGATAAAGTTGAGTAGAGGAAAAGGCCACATACGCTTTAAAGAGCTGGGAAAATGCCTTAGTAATTAAGCTATTCACACTTTAAAGCGTGAGTTTGATGTGCGCAAATGGCACTGTGACTTCTCATTAGCACTCTAATTTTGTTCCAGTGCTCAACCTTCCTATTTACTAACTTTCAGTGTGACCCATTACTTGAATTCTGTCTTGATTTTCAGTTATGTTAGCAGTAATTATAGGCTCCCTACTCCTAAAGGTTATCTAAGGTAAATTAGAAATGGTTGAAACAACGGTCATCCCGGGTTACTATTTCCCACCATACCTAATTGTGTGTTAAAAAAAAAAAAAAAAAAGTTTGTAAGTAATTTCATTCCAAAGAAGAACAAGTAAAAGGTAAAAGCTGCAATCATGACGAACATAAAAACCACACAATTGCTGCTAGTGGTCTGTCACTCAATTCAACTTACTTGGTTTGCAAATATGAACCCATGTCCACTGGATATTTAGCTCCTTACTGTGCAAAATCCTATTCATTTGCCCTCTGATTCTTTGGCTCTGTGCCTGATCTGAGGGCTTGCCTGTGATGGAATCCTTTAACAGTCTTGCAGAATTAACTTTTTGCTGCTACACGCAGAAATTTTAGCACATGAAAATATTTTGCTAACCATTAGCAAAATGGTTGTTAGAAAGCTAGTTAAAATCACTGAACAACTGTTAGCCTTTTCCCTGTTTTCTCTTTCCATGCTGCTATGGAGTTTTTTAGAGATCTAGACTTTTTGTCTCCTCTTCCTCTACTACATTAAAGTGGACCACAGGTCATTTTTTAATAAGACTACAATAGTACTTTGTTAAACAGTATCAAGTGCTATTCTTAAAGATCAGTAAAGATCAGTAGCTGAACACTAAATAAGCCAATGTGATAAAACTGTATTTTTCTCTGGTGGCATATCTTATGCTACCACTCCTGCCTTCGTACATAGTTTATTTCTGGTGAGTATCTTTCTGCTTATTTGTAATCCACAAAGTCTGGGAACATGTCTGTATTGTAGTGCCAGGAAGGGCACTGAGCAGCTTTTCTATGATCCAAGCAGACTGGGGTAAAGGAGAGTCCTGGAGCCCTCGGTGATGGCTTTCTCAGGCTTTTATAGAGATGCAGTGCAGCAAGCAGGTACGCAGCAAGCAAGCACAGATAGGGGAACGGGGGGCAGCACAGGGCAGCAAGGAGGCAGGCAGGCCTCCAAGCCCCCAGGCCCCCACTCCTCCCACCTACCACCCAAGTCTTCACTCTGGGCTTCTCTGGCCCTCTTTCTCCCCTTCTCTCTCCTGCCTCTGCTTCTCTTGACAGGTATCTCAATACAGAGCCATGGCCCACAGAAGTAAACAACATAACTTACAACAATGTAACAAAATACAGTTGCCACATCAGGCAACACAGTCCTAATGACAGGAGGGCAGAAAAGCCTGAAAACCATTATGCTACGTGTATGTTCTTTATGTCTCTCCAAGGTCTGGTGCATTGTCTACCTGTACCGCTAACACTCTTCATTTGTTGTATGGATACTTTTTTTAACTATTTATTTATGCATACAACTGGCGTGGGGGGGGTGTGAGAGGATTCACCAGAGAGTGGGGAGCAGAATAGGCAGATCTACTGAAATACACTGCTGAGGGGAGCAGCACAAGAACCAAAAGAGGTCTGCTGTGCCATGTGGGTTGCTCCCCAGCCCGCCTGGGATAGAACTCGTGCTGCGGTGGCTGGTGATAGCTTGACAGTGCTGTGTCTTTAACCCCTGCGCCACCAGGGAAGCCCTATATGGATAATTTAAATTTTAAATATTCCATCATCTAGAATATGTAGATTTATTTGGGTAATAAATTTGGATAGCCAATACACAACTTATTCTTAGTATTCTTGGTCTATTGTGGTAAGTTTCCTCTTGATAAAAGCAGTAATGTTACAGACTGCTTCTGGTTGAAAGGGGAGGAGAATCACTGCACAGTGAATAGGTATCATTTTCCCTGCCCCATTTACAAGCAGCAACATTGTCAACATCCCTGACCATTAACCAGACTCCCTGAATTGGAGGCCACTTGGGAAGGAGCAAGGTGGATATATATAGATGGAGGTGGAATGAAGGAGGGGAGAGACACTTAGAGCCTTGGAGAAGAGCTGAGTATAACCAAGACATGTGGAAAAGCTGCTCCTGGGACTTTAGAGTTTTGGCAGAGACAATAGCAGCCATTAGCATGACCTCATGGTAGATCATGTGGTACATTTTAAATTTTGGGTCTCTCCTAATCTTGCTCTTTAGGACATGCTTGGGCCCTTTCTTGTGGTTCCCTGACAGAAGATGCCTTGGACTGATGGCAAGTTTGGGGGACTCAGCCACCCTGCTTTTGATTCAACTTGTCTGGGCATTTGTCCACAAGGAGATGAGTAATTTTCAGTTTTGCTGGGAATCTTACTTGAAATCCTTTCCTCTCGATCTCACTCTCACTAGTGCACTTTTGCTCTCTCTTAATTTGTACACCAATTCTATTAAAATTCTTTCACACCAAGGGTCTGCTTTATTTGTCTTTATGTGCGTAGATGGCCAGACTGTCTTTTAGAATATATCCATCAACAATTTGGGGTCCCTGAATACTTGCATACTTCAGTTGCATACTTCCAGTAACACTGTCTGTAAAAATTCTTTATGCCTAGTTGCTTCAGTTTTATTATTAAGCAGAAAATACCCAAAATGAATACTTTGTGAATACAGAACATTATATAGGCAGAAGCTTCATAATATCAGAAAGTTGTGATTTGAATGTGTAAGGCATTCAATGTTTATTAAACTGAATGAAATTTACCATACAACTATCACCACCCTAGGAATTCACATTTCTCACAGGCATGGCTAAGTTCTATCTTATATTTTTTCTGTCACAATTGAGGTACTCAGGTGTTGCCCAGATTAACCTTAAATCATCTGGTTATTTGCATAATAGGTCTTGGTTATGGTTTACAGTGCTAAGTCTGTTAAGTGAGACCTGAAGGAATTTCCTCCTCCTGTCTCTCATGTGACCTGAAATGTCTGGGGAAAACCCAGAACTAAACCCTGCTAAATATGGAGCTGTTTTGTTCTGCAACTTTATTTCCAGTACAATTACAAATCCATCACCCCTGCCCATTCCCCAAACAATAAAAACAAATACTTCCTTTCTAAAAAAGAATTAGTTTCTCTGTATTTTTCCGTTTGAAAACAAAAGGCAACACATCAGCACTTCCCTGCTGATTTTTAAAACTCTTTGGAAGAAGGTGGGAATGTTTTATAGAGTAGTATAATTTAAAAATGAAGCAGTGATATCTATTATTTAGAGAATGAGGAAATGGAAATCAGAGTTGACAGAGGTGAAAGGGAATCTTCTAACTTACTGACAGCCTTGTCACAAAATGTATCCTTGGTATTGTATTACACTGTTGTCATTTATGATTATTTCACATATTGAGAAACTGTTTAGTCAAAATTAAGGATAAAAAGCTCTCTGAAAATATAAAGGTAACAATCCTTTAAAGGAAAGAAAAAAAAAAACCTTTAAATTAGTGTTTCTCAAAATGTGATCTGGGATCAGAAGCATCAAATCACAGGTGAACTTAAAAGTGATTCTTAGAGCTCTGCCCCAATTTAGCAAATACTTTGGGTCATTCTGATGAATGCTAAAGTTAGAGAACTATTGATCCAAAGCATGAAATATGCTTTTTCAGGTACATTAATTTTTTTCCCAAAATACATATAACTCATATGTATGAAATTAGGTGGAAAAAGGCTTTCTTTGGGAAAAATACTCCATTCCTGGTGTTCCTGATATCTGTATCTCCTATTAAGCAAATTGTATTCATTGCCCATGGACCTACCCCAATATTTCTTGC